GATGTCATCGAGGGGTCCTGGAACCAGTCCCCACGATACTGAGGGGCAAGTGCACATCATTGTCACTAGTCGGGTGGTACTCGTGGGGGGGGGCACCCGAGTCCTGCCGGCCCCTGAGCCCTGCCTCCCGTCTGCAGATCTCCTGGGTGTACCCCCACTTCTCCCTGCTCATGCCGCTGGGACTGGGGCGGCGGAAAAAGGCACCACCCCTGGTGGAAAATGAGGAGGCTGAGCCCGGCCGTGGCGGRCTGGGCGTGGGGGAGCCGGGGCCCCTGGGCGGAGGTGGGGCAGGGGGGCCCCAAATGGGCTTGCCCCCCCCACCCCCTGCCCTGCGGCCCCGCCTCGTGTTCCACACCCAGCTGGCCCACGGCAGCCCCACGGGCCGCATCGAGGGCTTCACCAACGTCAAAGAGCTGTACGGCAAGATCGCCGAGGCCTTCCGGCTGCCAGCCGCCGAGGTACCTGTGGAGGGCCGAGCAGGGCGCCAGGGTCCCTAGCGGTGAGCCGGGGCTCAGGTGCCACCGCTGTGGGTGCAGAGGTGGTSTCCCCCTCGATGGTGGGGAGCCGGGGTCACTGGTGGAAGCCRCACTCCTGTCAGGCCTTTCCAGGTCTGTGCCCCCGGAGACTGTGTGGGCTGGAGGCCTGACCCCGGGGCTGTGGGGGCAGAAGAGAGGCTGGCAAGGAGACAGCGGTGGGCTGGGCAGTAAGTGGGCACAGGCAGGGAGGAGGGGGTCTGCCCCTTGATTCACTCCCCAGGCACTCACCGAGTCTCACCCTGTGCCCGGCTCCAGTCCCTGGCAGCAGGAGGGACAGAAGTCCTAGAGCTCAGAGGGCGCCCGGGCCCTGGGGTGGAGACCCCTAGCCCTTTGCCAACCCCCGCCCTCMCCCCCAGGTGTTAGCAGAGGGGCCCGGGGAGGGAAGCCAGGGACGAGCATCTCCCACCCTGCAGGTGATGTTCTGCACCCTCAACACCCACAAGGTGGACATGGACAAGCTCCTGGGGGGCCAGATCGGGCTGGAGGACTTCATCTTTGCTCACGTCAAGGGGCAGCGCAAGGAGGTGGAAGTGTTCAAGTCGGAGGACGCTCTGGGGCTCACCATCACAGACAACGGCGCTGGCTATGCCTTCATCAAGGTGCCTGGGTGGTCCGGGCACCAAATCCTGGGCCCAGGGCAGGCCATGGGCCCCAGGTAGAACCGCCAGGGCTGATGACCCCTCTCCTTCCCAGCGCATCAAGGAGGGCAGCGTCATCGACCACATGCAGCTCATCAGTGTGGGCGACATGATCGAGGCCATTAATGGGCAGAGCCTGCTAGGCTGCCGGCACTACGAGGTGGCCCGGCTACTCAAGGAGCTCCCCCGAGGCCGCACCTTCACCCTGAAGCTCACGGAGCCTCGCAAGGCCTTTGGTGAGRGGCTGCCTCCTGCACCCCGCCCGCCCTGACCCTGCTCTCGGCCCCCTCCGCCTGCAGTGCCCGGAGCCACCAGCAGATGGCGGCCGTGCCTGGCTGGCTGCAGGGGAGGGCGGGAAGCTCCGCCCCGCCCCAGGAGGGGGCGCTGGCTCCCCGCCCAGCCGGGGAGCAGGGGCCAGGGGGGGTAGGAGGAAGTTGCCCCCACACCCCGCTTCCAGGAACCATGAGCCCAGCCAAGCGCCCCCAGCCCTGAGAAGCCAGGCTTGGCTGCCCTGTGCCCGCACCCCCACTTCTCCATCTGGCTTCACTAACTCCCAGGAATGGGCCCCAGGCCCCTGGGGGGGGGGGTGGAGGACTCTGAAGCCTTTCCCTGGGCAGAYGGGGCCGGTCTGTGGCCGGCAGCTATGGCCCCCACCCCCAGGCCGTGGGGACAGTACTCAGGCCAGTTCCCATCCCCTCTCTATTCCTCGGGGAGGAGAAGTGGCCCCCCTGGTCTCCTCTCGCTTTCTCCAGGCCTGGGCTCCGGCCCCCGACCCCGGGGTCCTGGAGAAGCTTGGAGAAGGTGGGGAGGGGGTTCGCTGAGGCCAGAAGGCTGGTCTCTGGCCAGGGCCTGCTGAATTCCATCTCCCCTCCTCCCCCTCTCCTCTTCCCTGCCTCCCACAGACATGATCAGCCAGCGGTCAGGGGGGGGCCGCCCCGGCTCCGGCCCACAGCTGGGCACCGGTCGAGGGACCCTCCGGCTCCGATCCCGGGGCCCTGCCACAGTGGAGGATCTGGTGAGTGATCTACCCAGCCCCAGCCCCTAGCCCTTCATGTCGTGGCTGGTGARGGGACTCTGGGCAGCCTGCCTGGATTCACATCCACTCCTGCCCCCCCTGAACTCGGGGAACTCACACCAGTGGGCCTCGGTTTCCCCACTGTGAAATGGGAGTCGTAATAGCAAATGTCATGGATGAAAAGATATGTGAAGCCCTGAAAAGGGCACTTAATAAAGGCACTAAATAAGTACCGTGACAGTTCTGTTCCTGTTATGATGACGTCCCTGTCCCTGCTCCCCCCCCCCCCCCAGCCCTCAGCCTTCGAGGAGAAGGCCATTGAAAAGGTGGATGACTTGCTGGAGAGCTACATGGGAATCAGAGACACGGAGCTGGGTAAGCGGCTGGGTAGGGAGGGTCCCGGCCTGGGAGGGTCTTGGGGAGGGGGCTTCTCCAACCATCTGTGCCTCCACCTCATCTCCTCTCCCACACAGCTGCCACCATGGTTGAGCTGGGGAAGGACAAAAGGAACCCAGACGAGCTGGCGGAGGCCCTGGATGAACGGCTTGGTGACTTTGCCTTCCCGGATGAGTTCGTCTTTGACGTGTGGGGTGCCATTGGGGACGCTAAGGTTGGACGCTACTAGGACTCCACTGGACCTCATGTGATGACCTGGGCCCAGCCTGGTGGGGATCCCCAGAAGGACACCAGGGCCTGGGCCTGAGTTCCCAGCCTGGGGCAGTAGCTCAGCAACCCGAGGACAATGCGGAGCAGAATTGGGGCCTGCCCCGGCCCCAAGCCAATCAGTACCACCACCCTCCCTGCTTCCCAGCCCGGCTGGGGTCCCCAGCCTCCCTGTCCGGTTCCCCATCTACCTCAGCCGGGCCAGGTGCGTGGGAGGGATGGCCCAATTGGGCGGCTGCCCCTGCCCCCAGCAGTCCCCACCATGGCTGCCAGACTGGTCCCAGGGTCTCTGGGGGCTGTGACCTCTCCAGTTTCCTGCTGCAGGGAATGCAGAAGGGGGGCACCCCCCACTGCCAACAAATGCAATAATACCCTCCCCTCTGAGAGGAGCCCCTCAACCTGGATTCTGTTACCTCCGCATTTGAAGAGTCTGCTGTGAACCCCCACCTCCCCACACCCTCATGGCCAGGCCCCAAACCAGAGCGGGAGGAAGGGGCTTTGTATCTGAATTTGCGTCTGGAACATAAAGAATCTATCTGGTATTGGACCTGGTGGCCTCGGGTGGGGGGGAGGTGGGCCGTTAGGGAAGAGCACAGCAGCTGAAATCTATCTTCCCCGGGCTCCAAATTGAATTAGGAGCTGGCCGGGCCACCGCCCCCTCCCACTGCCCTGACAAGGCTCCTGGCCTCCAGCCACCAGGCTTCCAGGCAGTGCGGAGATTCCTGGCCTACTAGGGGCTCAGCTCCTGGCCCCCGCCCGCATCTCCCAAGCCAGTGTTGGGCCTGGACGCGCAGGGTCCACAGGCCCCTGGCACGTGACCCCTCCCACGGACATAAACCCGTGGCTTGTTTTGACAACCCACTTCATCCCAGAGGATTGAGGGGATCAAGGAAGGGGAGGGTGGGACCCTGGCCAGACCTGGAGAGAAGGGAGAGGGTTGAAGGAGGGGAGCGGGGCCAGAGGTCTCAGCAGGAATGTTTGGGGGTGAGCGGAGGTGYGAAGCGGGTGGGGAAGGAGCCAGGGGGCCGGGCAGAGGCACAGGCACGGCCTTGGGACGTCCCTGGGCACTTGAGGACTCGGTGTGGCAGTGCCAGGGGACAGCTCCAGGGTGAGGGGTGTGGCTGGTCTTGGGTTCTGTCCGTGTTGATGGCTGGTGACCATGTTGAGCAGGACTGCAGGTGCACGGTATGGGTGGGGGTGTCTGGCTGAGCTGTTGGAGTAGGAGTTGGGAGGTGGCCTCACCGTTTCCAGGGGTGCCCCTCCTTGCGTCTTGGAATGTGCCTGTGGGTCCTCGTATTGCTAGGGAATGTCTTCCCATGGCCTGGAGTGACAGGGACTCTCGCAGAGTCTCAGGTCCTCGATGCTAAGGGGTGTGTTGGAAAGGTCATTTCAGGGGGCTGTGTTTTGAGGTGTCAAGGGAAGCGGCTGGTGTCACAGGGGGTCAGACTTTCCTGCGGCATCTCAACGCCCCCATACATAACCGCAGGGACCTCTGACGCAGCTCCCCTCCAGTCCTCTCCCCTCTCTCCAGCTCTGGCCGGGGTCCTGCCCCTCCCTCCCTTCCCCTCAGWCCTCCAGGAGGGTGCTGCAGGGGGGCTGGGTGCTAGGATGACGCCTCTGAGTGGGGCCAGGAGGCAGCAGTGGCTAGGTCTCAGGGTGAGGCTGTGTGGTGGGCCCCCAGGGGTGCCCATCTCAGGGCACGAGGTGAGGCCGCAGTCGGTCCAGGGTGCGTCTTCGTGCCTTGGGGGCCCCACATGTGCTCAACTCACCCTAAAGCAGGGTGCAGAGGCTGGCCTCATCTCCAGGCTTCCTGGCTCCCCTGGGCCCTCAGCCTCCTCCCTGTCTCGGAGGGTGTGACTCCCCGCCGCCCTGGCCTGGGCTTAAGCCCCTGTGTAAATAGTGGGCGGGTCCCCTGACCAGGCTGGGCCTGACCCAAGCCAGTCCGTCCAAGGCACTGACCACAACCACCCATCTTGATGCCCACAAAGGTTCTGGCAGGTCAGGGAATAGTTGCTGCCCTCCACCACATATTAGGCCAGCCCCCCAACCCTCAAACCTGGTGGAGACAGCACCACCCCTGCAGCCCKCCCAGCTTGCCCTGGGCGACGCTCATATTTTCCAGTGTTTAGATTTTATCCGCTTTATTAATGAGGCAGGCAAGAGGCCCGAGCCCTGGGGGAAAGGGGCTGCTCCCGCCCCACTGGGAGGAGGGGGTCAAGGGGACCAGGCCGACTCTCAGGAGCCTCCCTCCTCATAGAGGAGGAGCTGGGGCCCCCAGTGGTCTCCACCCATTGCCAGGAGGACAGACTGGGGGTCTCTGCCACTCCAGGCCCCCAGCAGGCGTACAAGGGGTGGAGCGGTCCCTGGAGGCCAGCAGGGCTGCCGGTGGAGGCGAGGAGCCGCCCCAGGAAGAGGGAGGGAGGGAGCGGCCGCCCAGAGAGCCAGGCGCAGCGGGCGTGGGCAGCCGGGCCTGAGCGGTGGGCCATGGGGACCCAGCGTCCCAGCGCTGGGTAAGAAGGCTGGGTTCAGGGTTGGGTTTGGGGATGAGCATGGGGCCTTGGCTACTTTGGTTGATACTGCTGTGTTCCCTGGATCTCAGTCCCTGTGTGTCTGTCCTTGGGTCTTACTCTGTCCATCCACCTTTCCCTCTGGCCCAGGGTGAAATCCGGCCTTTTACCCCCCACCACCAGAGTGTGGTGGAGTGGGAGGGGGAGAGGGAGGCAGGATGTGGGTCTCCCTGAGGTCTCTGGGACAGGGAGGGGTTGTGGGCCTCCAGGTGAGGTGGTGGTCAGGGATGGTGCTCGGTGAGAGAGCAGTGGAGCCCAGAGACCACCGTGGAGGACCGAGTTGGCCATGGGCACAGATATGACCCCAGGGCCCAGAGACGAGGTTCTGGGAGAGTGCCATGGAAGCCAGAGATGGGACTGTGGGGACAAAGACATGASTATAAAGATACAATGCCATCAAAGCAAAAAATGGGACCAGGCTGTGAGACACAGAGATGGTCCACAGACAAGAGATGGGGCTGTGGGGGGAGGGTTATGGGGACAGAGACAGTGCCATGGGGGTCAGAGATGGGTCCATGGGGAAGGGGATGTCTGTGATAGTGAAGTTGGAGCTGGGGACATCAAGAATGGGACTGAAGTGAAGGTGACATGGTGAAGGTCAGTGCGGGCACCTTCGAGCAGCCTGTCCCTGGGGTCAGAAATAGGTGTCCCAGATGGGGCCTGGGCCAGGAGTTTGCTTGCTGTAAAAATGGAAAATGGGGGTCAGAGGTGGATCTCTGGGGTGCAGAAGTGGGGCAGAGACCTGGGGTGCTGGTCCAGGGCAGCCTTAGAGTGGTGGGCATATGGGAAGGAGGCGGCAGAAAGGAAGGAGGAGCAAGAGATGGGCTAGTGAGGGGCGGGGGCATCAGAACAGCTAGGGTCATCTGGAGTTGCCACAGGCAAAAGGGCCTTGGGGTCAGATGGGTTCTGGTGAGATGGGACAGTCAATCCGCGGTCTCCCGCTGTGTCCCTCCCGCCTCACTTGCCTTCATCTCCTCTACCCAGCCCTCCTGGCGCCTGACATGAGTCTTTGCGGGCCCCTTAACCGGAGCCTGGCCGGCGAGGCTACCACATGCTCGGCGCCCGGGATCCCCAACGTGTCGGCGGTGCCGCCCTTGGGTGGTACGGGCGGATCACCAGCGTTGCCCATCTTCTCCATGACGCTGGGTGCAGTGTCCAACGTGCTGGCACTGGCGCTGCTGGCTCAGGCCGCAGGCCGCCTGCGGCGCCGCCGCTCGGCCGCCACCTTCCTGTTGTTCGTCGCTAGTCTGCTGGCCATCGACCTGGCGGGCCACGTGATCCCGGGCGCACTAGTGCTGCGCCTGTATGCTGCGGGGCGCACACCGGCCGGGGGGGCCTGCCACTTCCTGGGTGGTTGCATGGTCTTCTTCGGCCTGTGCCCGCTCCTGCTGGGCTGCGGCATGGCAGTGGAGCGCTGTGTGGGTGTCACCTGGCCTCTGCTCCATGCCGCGCGCGTCTCGGTGGCCCGCGCGCGCTTTGCGCTGGCCGCATTGGCCGCTGTGGCCTTGGCGGTGGCGCTGCTCCCGCTAGCACGCGTGGGTCGCTATGAGCTGCAGTACCCTGGCACCTGGTGTTTTATTGGCCTCGGGCCACCCGGCGGCTGGCGTCAGGCGCTGCTTGCCGGCCTCTTCGCAGGCCTCGGCCTGGCTGCGCTACTCGCTGCGCTAGTGTGCAACACTCTCAGCGGCCTGGCCCTGCTGCGCGCCCGCTGGCGCCGCCACTCCGGACGTTTTCCCCAGGCCTCCCGCCCAGATAGCCGCCGACGCTGGGGGTCACGAGGCCTCCGCTCGGCCTCCGCCTCATCTGCCTCATCCATCGCTTCAGCCTCCCCAGCCCTCCGCAGTTCCCGGGGCGGAGGCTCAGCACGCAGAACCCGCGCCCACGACGTGGAGATGGTGGGCCAGCTCGTGGGCATCATGATGGTGTCGTGCATCTGCTGGAGCCCGCTGCTGGTGAGGGGCACAAGAGCCCCTCAAGTCACATGCCTTCCCCGGCCCCACCCACTCTTCTCTATCCCTATAGACCCTCACCCAGCCAAGGCTCCACCCCTTTAAGACCCCACCTGCCAGGAAGGCGACCCTTTGCCTTCTCGTTGGCGTCCGTTCTCCCAGCCCCGTTCTCTTGGTCCTTCCAGGGGTCTGTGTGAGCCGCCCCGACCTACACCGGCCCCCAAGCCCCTCTCCCCTAGCCGCCTCCTCCCTCTTTCGTGGCTTCCCTTTCTCCTGTGTGCTTGGGGAGACTTGGCCCTTGTATCCCTTCTGGCCGACGCCCCCACTTCTGGAGGCCTTTGCTTCTGCACCCCTCCTTCCACAGCTCTTTCCCACATAGATAACCATTTAAGGTCCCCATGACACTCTGCCCCTCCCCCAACCTCCTTCCAGCCATGCCCCACCCACCCCAGCCTCACCCTCCCGCCCCTTCTCTAACACCCGTCGCASGGCTCACACCAGCTTTCCCCGCAGGTGTTGGTGGTGCTGGCCATCGGGGGCTGGAACTCCARCTCGCTGCAGCGGCCGCTATTTCTGGCCGTGCGCCTTGCTTCCTGGAACCAGATCCTGGACCCCTGGGTGTACATCCTGCTGCGCCAGGCCGTGCTGCGCCAAGTGCTTCGCCTTCTGCCTTCAAGGGCTGGCGCCAAGGGCGGCCCCGCGGAGTTGGGCCTAACCCGGAGCGCCTGGGAGGCCAGCTCTCTGCGCAGTTCCCGGCAGAGTGGTCTCAGCCACTTCTGAGTGCGCCCGAAGGCTAAGCCATCCAAAGTGCTCAGCGCAGCCAGCGCCTTTGAGGAACCAGAGTTTTGTCCCGTCGGGGCTGCAGCACACACTGGGGCCGCGTGGGGGCGGCAGAGGATCCGTGTGCGCCTCGAGACCGGTGCAGTTCCGAGGCTTGCCACGCGAGGGCGCAGACACCCGACGCTCAGTTGTCCAGCTGGGAATCCAGAGCCAAAGCCACAGGAGCATGCGCTCAACGCCAGGGCCCCAGCTCCGCAGTGACTAGAGCAAGAGTGTTTGGGGGACACTTTCTGTCACTGCGGCCGCCAAGACAGATTCTGTTCATTAGATCCTGAGCTCCTCCCAAACAGTCCCAAGACCTATGCCCAAGCCATGCACCATCATGGCCTCGAACTCCCAAAGCCTCCAACAGGACCCTGACGCCCCTCCCATCGCGGCTCACCACTCCTCCCACCACAACAGCCCTCAGTCCCACCCTCCCCCGACCCTCTTCAAATGAACCCCCACCGATCTGCCCCATCACCTGGCCCTACCTCCAAGTACGTCCATCCCCCAACCCCCTCTCGTCCATCCCCCAACCCCCTCTCGGCGCACAAGAAGGGCCAGGATGCAGGGCTGGGGCAGACCCCGGAGGCCTTTTTAAAAACTAAGAGCTCGGGGCAGGGGCGGGGATGGGCTAGCAGCCGCCGGCCACGAAGTCGAAGTCCTGGAAGGCTGCCTGCTCAGTGGCAGTGAGGGGCCTTGCGTCGCGGGGTGGGCTCAGCGTGGGGGCCTCGCCGGTGAACTCCTCGTCGAAGTTGCTGACATCCGTGCGCCCCGAGAGCGTGGGCACGAAGGGTGGGGGCAGGCGCCGGGCCAGCAGGGCTTCCCAGCCCAGTGTCTGGGAAGGCAGGAGAGGGAGGTCAGGATGGGAGGCTCGGGGCAGGCGTGGCTGAGAGAGCCGGGTCCTGGGTTTGTGGGCTCAGCACAAGGTGGAAGAAGASGGGTGAGGATGGGGCAGGGGGAACTGGCTCACCCGGGACACGGCCCACCAGGCCAGAAGGAGTGACTGGGCCTCCACGGGGCGTGTGGGAGGGGAGGGGAGGACACAGCCGTGGCTACGGGCCCCTGGGGTGGGAAGGGCGCCTGGCTCCTGGGGTCTCACCCTGAAGAATGGCTGCTTCTTCACGTCCTCTGCATCTCGCTCACTGGACCCCAACCTCCGCTCTGGATTCCTCCGCAGCAGCTGCAAGTGCAAAGCTGCGTCAGGTCTGTCTCCCGCCGAGGCCCTGACCCAGAGCCCCTGACCCAGAGCCCCTGTCTGGGACGTCCCTGCCTGGGAGTCCTCACCCTCCGCATGATGCCGATGGCCTCCGCAGACAGGAAGCGCGGGTAGCGGACCTCATCATTGACGATGCTGTCAAACACCTCCTCCTCATCATCCCCTGGGAATGGCGACTGGGGACAGGGGTGGGGTGAACGAGGCCCCTCTCCGGGATACCACACCCAGTTCCACCCGAACCCTTGCTTTGGCGGTGCGTCCCCACAGGGGCTGGCTTGAAAAGGGGCGAGTATCCCATTTCACAGATTGGGCACTGAGGTCCAGGGGCAAAGCCACCTGCCCTCCTCACCCAGCTGGGGCCGAGGCAGAGTTGCCTCCTAGCCCTGGGCACAGGCACACTCCAGGCCCGGTGGGGGCGCCCTGGGGCCTCACCTCACCGACCAGCATCTCGTAGAGCAGCACGCCCAGCCCCCACCAGTCCACGGCCCGGGTGTAGGACGTGTCTGTCAGCACCTCGGGCGCCAGGAACTCCGGGGTCCCGCAGAAGGTGCTGGTCCGGTCCCCATAGCCCATGCCTGGAGCAGCAGGGCCAGGCGAGCTTAGCGGGTGGCCCAGCACCGCCACCGTGGTCCACACAGCCGGCTGCCCCCTCCGTGTCCGACCCCAGGCTCCGCTCCTCACCCTCTTTGCAGAGGCCAAAGTCTGCGATCTTGACGTAGCCCTCAGTGTCCAGGAGCAAATTGTCCAACTTGAGGTCCCTGTGGGGTCAGAGGTACAGAGAGGGACAGGCTGGTTTGGGGGGGCTCTGGCTGTGCCAGGGCCGAGGCGCCCCGCAGCACACACCTGTAGACGATCTTGTGTTCGTGGAGGAACTGCAGCCCCAGAACCACGCAGGCCGAGTAGAAGCTGCGGAGAGAGTGGGCGGGTCCTGGGAGCCTGGAACCCGCACCCTTGGGCCCCCAGCCCCCAAGAGCTCCCGGAGGCCGGCCGRGCAGGCAGGGCCCAGGGGTGGAGGGTGGCGCCCGGGCTGAAAGCCTGGGCAGGGGCTCACACGGCTCGGGGCTCGGAGAACACGTCGCTGTGGATGTGCAGCATGAGGTCGCCGCCTGCGGAGTACTCCATCACGAAGCACACGTGCTCCGGCGTCTGGAAGCAGCCGAAGAGGTTCACCAGGAACGGGTGTCCCGCGCTGGTCACCGCTGCCAAGATCCGCTTCTCACACATCAGGCTGGGAAGGGACAGGGGGTGGGGGGCACAGGTCATGGACACCCCCAACCCCCACTCTCCCCGGAGTCCTCAGTCCACCCCAGATACAGCTGTGCACTTCAGATAAGTTGCTTACAATCTCTGAACCTCAACAACCTGATCTGCTAAAGAGGCACCCAGCACCCATCTGTCTTTCAGTAACTGCCCCATGACCTTCCTTTGGGGAACCGCAGGGCTGGGCACAAGGCCCAGGCCACTGGGGTGCTCCAACTCTTTGGCCAGAGATTGGTTCAGGGATGGGCAAGCCTAATCAAGGGACTTGGATTGAGGTCCCTGTGGGGTCAGAGGGTACAGAGAGGGATAGACTAGTTTGGGAGGGGGCTCTGGCTGTGCCCAGTGGCTGAGGCGCCCCYACAGGGACTCTGCTTCCACCACTGGATTGCCAGGGTTTCCACCGGAATTATTAAGGAATGAAGGCTAAAGCTGGGTGAATCTCAAGCTGTTGGAGTACAGAGGTATCTTTGCCCTCTGGAGGGGACTGCAAGCCAAGCCGGCACACAGGAACACAGAACTGAGAAACCTCATCTGAGCACCTGGATACAGCCATGCCTGAAGGCACTCACCCCAGGACTTTTCTGGTCCAGCTCAATAAATTCTTTTGTTTGTTTAAACCTTTCTAAGCTGAGTTCCTGATTATTATTATTGGGAAGGCTGGGGACAATCCCAGTGCCTCTGTTGAGTGTTTATAGGGATTAAGCTCTGTTTAGAGTACTTCAGATGAATCCTCTCATTTACCCTGCAAGAATGTTATCATTCCCCTTTGACAGATCAGGAGACTGCAGTACTGAAGGGAGAACTCAGGTTCTCCAAGCACATCCAGCAGAGCCGGGATTTCAACCTGGGRCCCTGACCCCAAAGCAGAGGCAGTGCAGTAGCACCAGCTTCRGAGCCGAGGCCCTAGGTTCAGAGCTGGACCTGCTGCTTACTGGCCGTGTGGCTTTGACAAATTGCTCAACCTCTGTGTGCCATCAGCAGAAAGGGACTACAACAGCATTTATACTTGAGAGAATAACTGCTCTTTAAGTTGTCACTATTATCTTAAATACAAGAGTCATAAGTTCCAGTGGCTGTTATGAGTCACTCTCACTACGGCTCCCAAAACAGGATGGCTCTGTCTCTCATTTCCCAGAAGAAAAGACAGAGGTCCCCAGAGGGTCACAGCAGGGTTCTCACCTCTCTACCTCGTCTCGGGCCACAATGTCCCCTTTCTTCAAAGCCTTGATGGCAAACAGTTCCCCGCTGGACCGGAATTCAGAAAGCAGCACCTGGAACCACAGGTAGCCTGAGTGGCCAGCCCAGGACCCAGCCGGACAGGACCCCCAGCCCCCAAATCCTTGCCCTGCACTCACCTTCCCAAAGTGACCCCGGCCAAGTACTGCCAGGAACTTGAAGTCCTCGAGGGTCAGAGGTGACTTCCTCAGAGGGCTGTGGAGAGAGGGCACTGGTGGGGACAGGGAGGGGGGGGCAGGGCTGGGAGTGGGGACTGGAGAGAGGCGTCACCTGCACAGGGCGGGGCCCGGGGTCTCCTGGGTTTCCGGGGGCAGCTCAGGAGTGCTGACAGTTTCCTGGGTGGGGGAACTCTACGGAGGAGAGAGGAGGTCAGGTGGGGGGCCGGATGCCACCTGACCTGGACCCCTCTGTCCCGGCTTTTCCCACACCCGTCTTGCGCACACCCCGCCAGCTGCTTGGCGTCCCTGCCCTGCATACACTGGGCACACTGTGTGTGCCTGCCAACTTCTGACCTAGAGCCAGACCCAGGACAATGCCGTCACCTTGGAGGCTCCCCTGTCACTCTTCTGTGAGTGACCCCTATCTGGAGAATGGCAAGATCCTGACCTCTGTCATTCACAGGAGCTGTGCAGGGCCCAGAGGCGAAGCTACTCGGCGCAGGACATGCAGCAATGAGGGGGAATGCAAGCAGCCGGGCTCCCCATTCCCTTTTTTTTAGGACTGGGGATGGTCCCCAGGCCTTGCAAGTGCTCTGCCACTGAGCTACACTCCCAGCCCCTGAACGCAAGGATAGAAAGCCAGGCTCCAGTTCTACTAGGGACATGCTGTGCCAGCCCAGGGAAATTCCTGGCTGTCTCTGATAATGGACCAGATGCCCAGCGCAGCTGGGGCCTAGTGGGAGAGGGGACAGACGCCTACCAGGCTTGACGGGCTGGAAAGAGTCCCCTGGAGGCTCTTCTGGGGCGAGCTGTCCGAGTCAGCTTCGAGGTTCAGCTTCTCCACRGAGACATCACTGCTAGAGGGGAGGAGGGTGTGTGGGACCCGGCAGCGGCTGCGCAGTGAGAGGCGGCTGGCAGCCCGGGGCGCCTCCTTACCCTGTGGTTCGGGCCTCAGACCCTGGAGAAGGCCCGGGACTGAAGGTGCCCGTGGTGGCGGCGTTGGGAATGAGCCTCCGAAGCAGCCGCACCCACGTGGCGACGTCGATGTTCATCTGCCTGGCACGCTGGAAGGCCTTTCCTGAGACAAGACCAGGGGCTGTCACTCCCTGGGACCTTCCGGGCCGCCTCCCCCCGCCCCAGGCCAACCTCACCTTGCTGCTTGGAGAATATCTTCTTTTGCCTCCGGAGCCGCGGGATCCTCTCAATAACGGGGTTGCGGAAGGTGACCTGGCCGGGGGAAGGCAAGGACCCCTGCTCACTGAGGGCAGCCTAGTGAGGACCCTCAGGAGACCAGCTGTGTCCACCCGTGCTCTGTGGGTTCTGATCACCATGCACTGCGCTCAACCGCAGAGAGCCCGGTGACAGGACACTGGCCGTCCCCACCTGCCTCCTGCCTGGAAAGGGAAGGAGCAGGGGACCAGGCCCCCGGAGGGGGAGGGTCCGGCCCATGGGACTGACATCTGAGCCAGCCAACTGAGGTCCGGCAGCACCCACTGCCCTGATTCCCCAGGTGTGGCCCAGGCCAGCTGACCTGGTGGCACGGGACGCTGTGGTCTAATCTGGAAC